TACTTAAAATTAAATTAGTTAGTTTTTTGTAAGTTTGCAAATATAATATAATAATTTAAGTCTTTTTTTTTTTTAGTTTGAAGATAAATAAAAATTGAACGTTTGAAATTATAATAATAAAAAAATTAGGAATTAAACTATAACACGTGCAAAAATTTAAGATTAATTATGTAATTTGTCGATAATAATATTATAATACTAAAATAATAATCCTAATTACATAGTTAATATACTATAAAATATTATCTAATGAGATATTTAATATTTGTTTTTTTTTTTTTGTTTGATAAAAAAGCACAAAAGATTAAGTCCTCAAGGGATTTAATATTTCAAACTCCAAATTTTATATACATTCACATATAAATTATTAAATTATTGTAAACATTGATGTGAGTTAATAATATATATATATATATTGACATATGTCATATCAATTATATTAAGTAAAATTTCAGCATAATGTCTCATGAATTGTATTCCATTTGCTTTGATAGTAGTCTAAACATATTAAATATTTAAGAATTAAAAGATTATACAATTATTTTATGAATTTCATAGTTTATAGGAGTTATGTAGCAATTAACTATATCATTATTTATTTTTTATGATAAAAATAAATATCATATGATATTCGTTATTATTTTTTTGAGCTAGTGACTTTTTATTTTTATTTTCATACACACCGTATATATAATTTAATTAGTTAAAAAATAATTTTACGGGCTACATAAAAAAAAAAAAAAACTATCTCAAAGTTAATTCATTATCTTTTTTTCCATCTTAATAGTTTTCTATTCACTTTGAAATTAAACAATTAAAGAACATAAGAATAATTGATTATTACGTACGGGTAAAACTAAAATTTTTATCAGAAGTAAAACGATTTACATACACGTCGTCATTATACTACTGAAAACATAAAAAATTCACGATATATTCCACGGATAACATATATCAAATTTGCCCGTCTCATAATTGAGCATGCATGGACCATTTGGTTGTATGTGCCACACACAATCCTTAGAACATTTAGGATAATCTCTATTTTGAATATAAATATCAAACCAATGAAATTGATTATTCCATGTAAAACCACAAAAATATTGAGTGGTGCCCCAAAAACCAGGTCGAAATACAAATACCCAATTACCTCGATATGAAATTTTTTGCTCCCAAAGATCATGATGTTTATCTTTACAATGCACCCTCAAGTCCAACCCCGTACCTAATTCATTGTAAATATGAATATGGGTTTTC